CATCGTCATATAAACCAACCCTTATTTCGTTCTTAAATCTCTCCATCCTTCCCAGCTGCCATAGGGCGGGAGGCAGGGCGGTCTGTAAAATACATTTATGGATGGAAATTCCATCTATAAATTAATTCTAATATTTCTTTGCAAGCTTCAGATCATCATCCTGTTCATGTGGTAGAAAAAAACAACACAGTAAGTTTTTAAATCTTTTACAGAAAATTATATATTAGATATATAAAATTCAGCAGTATCACAACAGTTTAATTGAACTAACTGATTACCTGAGAAGCTGCTGCTGTAGATTTCACAATATAAGCAGTTACAGTTTTGAATCATTTTAAAATTGTGTTATTTATTGCATAACAGATAAGATTAGACGATGCATGTTTTATTTTTCATCATACGTTGAGTTAAATAGTTAATGTTTCAATGATTTTCAAAATCATTACATTCTGCTTTTTTTGCACACTGTCCCATTTTTTCTGGAAAAATTGATCCCCATTAAGGTAGTTTAATAACAAGGAAACACAATAAAAACACAATGATAATAATAACAACAATTATAAAAATTCACATATAAAGTTATAATGAAACACAATGATTATTTTTGTTTAAAAATAACAATAATTTAGAAAATATAACTAAAAACAAACTGTGTATTGGTCAGCTGTTTGTATCAGCTTCAAAATAGAGATGTTCCTGAGGAGTCACCATGCCAGACATTTACTGATTGTATGCACGTTTGCAGAACACCATGTTTTCTATATTATTACAAGATCAGAGAGTCAGATGGAAGACGAGCAAAGCTCCTTAAATTGTCCCTGAAGCATTAAAGGTTATGTCTTGGGTTTGGCTTTCGGCTTGGCTTTGAGTGAAGCGCGCCTGTATTTCTCAGTCTGGTAGACGTCTGACTCGATGGCTTCGCCGGAGTCATTGAGCGTCACGTACACATCCCCGTTGACCTCAGTGACCTTATGAACTCGCTGTTTGACACCCTTGGAGCGCCAGTAAGTCCTCAGCGGTTTGGCTGTAGGGTCGTCCACAGCTTGGTAAAGCGATTCCCCCTCTGCGAGGGTGATCTTGTACTTGTGCCAAGGACACACGATGCACAGCTGTCCATTGAACTCCTAAAGGTAACACAGATCAAAAGATTTTTAGATATTACAGAAAAGGTTGAGTGTCAGACTTATGCACAGCTGTTTACAGTAAACGAGTCAAAAGGTGACTGATTTTCTTAATATACACCAGTAATCAGAATAAACAGCAGAAAACTCACCTCAATGTCTCCATACTGTAAAGCACCACCTGAATCTGTCCGTGAAAAAAAACTTGGCATTATGGACATCAACGACGAGCCGTAGAAGAACATATACTCTGCAATGTACTATGGATTATCTCAGCAGAAGCAGTACTTACGGTAGCAGTGCACGTCCACTGCATAAAGCTGCCCCTGGTGATGCACGACCAGCACATCTCTGCATCCGTTCACCAGCTTTGTCACACGGCCAGCTTTGACAATGTCCTCCTTCTTTCCAATGAAGTGGGAGGTAGACAAGTTTGAGGAGGAGGAAGAGGCAGAAGAAGTCTGAGACATCTCCTCCTCAGAGGACATGTTGATCTCTTCTTATAGCTGATATTCTGAATAAGATGAAAAAGATTACGCTTATGAAAAGAACAAAAAGATCACTTTAATTTCATATTTTATGTGGATTGCTTATTACACTCCAGTTACAAAACACACAAAAAACAGTGTTTGTCTGTCTCTTTTTATAACTACACATAGAACCCCTCGGATGTCTTCATACAAGTAAAGTCACTTAATTGTCTACCTACTACTTTCTTCAGAGTAGTATGAATTATCCAAAGGAAAAGCTGTAAAACCTATGAAAATACAGTTAAAAGTCCTCTGGCCACCGGGCCTCAGGCCTCAGGGCCAGAGACCTGAGGGCACCCCACCCCTGGAAGGGGCACAGCTGAGCCACAGGCACCAGGCCCCGCCAATCGGCCACCAGGAGTGAGCCGGTACATACATGAGCGCCCAGCCCCAGACACCAAGAACCACCAATACACCAACGTCACCAATACACCAACGTCTGAGGGCATCAGCCACCGGCAGGGAGTGTGGTGAGGGGAGATAAGTCTCCATACCTCGGAGAGCCTGAGATGTTCCCAGAGAGGTGGAGTCTAAGACCCAAGCTGACATATAGACACAGACAAACAGGCGCATGCAGACACAACCATGCATTCCCACCCCCATATACACAAACAAATACTCAGCACTCACCTGACGTGGAGACAGACACAAATAGACACTGTACACACATTCACACTCTCCAAACATACTCTATATCCCAGGTCTGTGTACCCCTGCCCCAGAGGGGCAAACCATACACAGACCCAGGAGATGTAACCCTTCTCTCAGGGGTGGAGGAAAGCAGACCGCCTCCTTATCTGCAGTAGCAGGGAGGCCCCGCATTCCAGACCCCAATCCGACGGCCAGCACCTCCTCCCAAATCAAAATAATAAGTGTAAATCTGGTTTCATGTTGCCCACAGACAATTTCAATATAACTGCCATGAAGAGTTTTTGGTTATTCTGGTATATTTGAGATATAGACTGATGTCATTGCTGAAGTCACTTGGATGAACACTGTAAACAACCTAATGTTCTTTTTGTACAGTTATAGTTAGACATCTTCTTTTCAC